ATCCCCAAAAAGGTGTCCAAGTGTGTCAGGGGTCACCCATGGGGTACCCTTTGCTCCCGCTCACCCTTGAAGTGGAATCCAGCACTCGGCGCGTTACTGCGCCGCAGGGAGGGCGGCTCGTATGGAATATTCAGCCCCCTCCAAGGAAGCCGTGGTCATTGCGGCTTTCGGGGAGAGCAGGCACTGCCTGGGAAGGTTTCCATCCGGATCGGATGAATCCGGGAGCAGGGAGAGCAGCCAGACCCTGAGCTCACGCAAAGCCACGTGCAGGAGCGGAGAGCAGCAACCAACAGGAGCTGTTAAAAATTACATCGTTCAGAGACAGGGCAAGACACCAGGAGAGTAAATGTCACTAAACAATAACTTTAGATGAGAAGCATACAAATATATGGAAAATGATATCTTTTACTTGGAGCATATTCTGCACAGAATGGTTATTTTTTTAAAAATCAACACTTTTTCCCCCCCCCATATGATAACCATTTCTGCACTAAACCCACAAGAGACATAACATTTTTTCGCTTGACACAGGACAACATATGAAGTACTTTAGGAAACTTCAATGATATTGTAGTATTTAACACCCAACACAGATGAATTGCCAACTGTATCTGTATCAGACAGCAAGAGATGCTGTTTTAACATGGAACTGCTCCATTTTAATATATGAACTTATCCTAAGGATCTATGTTATTTTTTCAGGTGGTCTTAGCATAAAGGGAATGATATTTATGCTTTCATAGCATCGCAATTAAATCTCCATTTAGGATGTGCAAGGAAACTAATTTTTCTATGTTCAGGCAGAAAAAAAGCATCGTTGACAGATGTGAGTTGTCAGAATAGGGGCTCAGTCAGCAACTTAAACTTTGTGCTGCTTCTCATGTTTGGGTTCATATCTGTCCATTAAATAATTTAATCAGACATTGCTAGTGAAAGGCAAGACAGGAATATAGGACACTACCAATGATGTTCCTTCCAGCAACGCAAAAAGCAAAGCATTGCTGCAAAGGATGCTCTTCAGAGGAAAGTTACTTGTGCAGTTTCATCAGGAGTTAAGGCTAATTTCATGAGGCAGTAGTGATTTCCTGAATCATGCAGTTTTCAACTAGTCTAAATGCCTC